AGGCAGGCGGATCTCTAAGTTCGAGGCCAGCCTGGTCTCCAGAGCGAGTCCTACAACAGCCAGGGTTACACAGAGAAATTCTCCCTGTCTTGAAAAACCAAACAACAAATAAACAATAAAATAAAGCAACAAGAAACAGAATGGTCTGGTTTCTAATCCCCCAAATCACTATTTTATTATTAAGACTAATAAGTCACACAGTTACATTCTGGATCCATAAAGCAGTATCCAATTGAGGACTACAACCTATAAGGAAGATTTTACCTTCATTATAGGGCACTGGATTCCCAATCTTTATTCCAACCTCTTCAGCTGATTTCACAACTTCCAAGTCCATCAAAATAACTACTCTCCTACAAAGACAAACAGACACAAATTAGAATACAGAACTCTGGAGCTTTGAGAAGAGCTAAGAAGTTTAATGATTGTCTGGCTAAGCTGCATCCTTTATTAACTTTTTCTCATTCTTGAATAACTTGAGAAGTGTTAATTCCTATGTAAATACTTCATTCACTCATTCCCCACATCAATGTTTGTTTTATTTTTTTATGTGACTATAGGGGTATTTACTTCCTATCTAGTTCCTTAATTAAAACAGTACATCTTGCTATGTGCCATCATCTTCACAGAGCCACTGATGTAAGAATTTAGATTATTAAATACAAAATCCTACTGCACAAAAAGATGACCTGTTTTCAGAAGCATATACTTATCTAAACCATTATTTCTTCCCAGTGAAAAGCAATTATGGTAGTAGACATTTTAAAAATTTAGTTATTGGGGGCTGAGACTAGAAATAGCTGTGCAAGCATGAGGACCTGAGTTTGATCCCTAACACCCAGATAACAAGTTAGATATGGTGGCAATGTGCATAGTTCCAGTGCTGCGGAGACAGAGACAGAAGGAGCCCTGGGTCTTTCTGGGCAGTCAGCCAAGCATAACCAGCAAGTTCCAGGCCAGTGTACCTATCTCAGAGAGAAAAGTAGATGGCACCTCTGCTTCCACAGGTACGGGCACGGACACATGGACACACGGACACACACACACACTGCTCGTGTGGCTTCATGGTCTGGTTCTGCTACAATACCAGCCCCCATCTCATCTCATCTCAGCAATTCTAAGCGTGCTGCCCTCTAGCCCAGCTGTTTTCTTTCAGTTCCTGGCGTAAGCTATGCTTCCTCCTGCCACCAAGCCTACATGACGGGCCTCTGATTTTTTTTTTCTTTCTCAATCTGCTTCATCTAATATGTACTTTTTAGCTCTTATCTTAAACTTGGAATTGAACCAGGGACTTATTCATGCTAGGCGAATGCTCCACCACAGAGCTACACCCCTCCATCTCAAATATCATTTCAAAAGACATTTCCTTAGTCTCTATTTAGATCAGGTTTCTTTGTCCTATTGCAGCCGTGATTTCATCCCTTCAGAACACTTCTTTTAGTTTTAAGTTCTCTATTAATTAGTGATTGCTTTCTTTCTCTCTACTAGACTGCACTTTATTGAAAGGCCGGTAGCCAGCTACAGTGCCTAATTAAGCAACAGCCCAAAGATGTCATTTAATACCTACTGGGACAAGATGTCATGATCTCATTTGCAGATTAAAAAGTACTGACAGAAGGAGATAGGTAACTCAGTAGCTCAAGTGCTTGTGCATACTGAGTGTGAGTTCAGACGCCCAGAAATCCACATAAATGCCAGGTGGATGTGGCAATCTGCCTGTAATTCCATCTTTGAGATATGGGATCCCCAGCACAAGCTGGCTAGCAAGACAAGCCAGATTGGAGTGCTCTGGGCTTGACTAAGACCCTGCCTCAGAAGTAAAAAAGTAACTGAAGGATGATGACGCCCAAACGTTGGGTTTGCATGTTCATGTGCAAATGTCAATGTGTGCACACATATGCACATCCCATGCATACTGGAACAGAAAAATGGAATTTGAAAGTAACATAACCACAAGCAGGGGGGTGACAGAAGAGTTGCTAGTGGCAATGAAAAGGGCGGATAAACTTGAGCAAAGATGAAGCAATCACCATGCTTTACTCTTTGGATGGTATGGCTGCCCAAGGCTGGACTTTACATACAGTATGTGCTACCCATACCAAATTATCCTGCCAGGGTCCTGCTACTTCAATAAAACAAGCTGAAAAAGCGATGTGCTATGAACTGGATATGGATAATCTGTTAAAACATCCTGCTAAGCCAAATGTGGTGAGGCATGCTTGTAATTGCAGCATTTGGGATCAGGAGTTCAAGGATCACCTCAGATGCACAGTGAGTTAGAGGTCAGCCTGAGCTATATCTAGGCTGGAGAGAGATGGCTCAATGGTTAAAAGTACATATTGTTCTTGCCAAAAACCTGAGTTTGGTTCCCAGCACCAACATCTAACAGCTCATAACTGCTTTTAACTCCAGCTCCAGGGAATATGGTATCTCTGGCTTCCAAAGGTACCTCCTCCCAAACACATGCATACATACATAATGGCGCAGACCAGGCACACGCACGAGCACGCATATACACACACAAAAATAAAAATAAGTCTTTAAAAAATTCATCTTGAAGCCAGGCAGTGATGGTGTAGGCCTTTAATCCCAGCACTCCGAAGGCATAGATAGGCGGCTCTCTGTGAGTTTGAGGCCAGTCTGGTCTACAAAGCTACATTGAGCAACTGTCTCAAAACTACCCCATACCCCCGCCCCCAATTTAACCTTGACACCAGAAGAAATGGCTCAGTAGGTAAAAGCACTGGCTGCTCTTCCAGAGGAAGAGGCTGAGTTAAGATTCCCAGCTCCCATATGGTGGCTCACAACCATCTGTAACTCCAGTTCCAGAATACCTGACACCTTACGCCCTCTATAGACACCAGACACAAATGTAATACATACATACACATGCAGCCAAAACATTCACAAGCATAAAATTAAATTAAAACCTAAAATTAAAATGCAGTATTAAAATGTGCTTCATCTTGTAACACATATACACATTAAATGAAATATAGCAAGATGAATATATTAAAATACACCAAATCCACTCTACAGAGCACCTAGGTAACCTTTATAGGAATACCATCAGCAAAACAGTGACTATGGGAAACATACACACACACACACACACACACACACACACACACACACA